GGGAAACGGCTCTGGCAACATCGCGATGTCCTCTCCTCGGCCAACCAACACAGCACATCATAAACGTCAACGGCAATGACCATGCATCACACAATTGTGTTAACCAAATGATGCTGCTACCCCCCTTACTCCCCTCCGCCCTTTATCACCCCTTTTCGGCCACGTCCAGTTCAGTTTCAGTTTCGGTTTTGGACTTTCCGCCAGATCGGCGACTACATAAATAACAGCTGGACTGAGAGCGGGAAGGCCGTCAGGCGACCGGGCCAATAAAACCAACGAACCACTCCGAAATAGGCTGCATGGAAACGCGCGAAAGTAAAACAGGCGGCTGGGAGGGGGTGGGAATGCAAAAAGTCCAGGAGCCATTGAAACAGAATTTTTATATACCCTGGAGGACAGTCTATAAAGGCTTTTTAATGCTCGCCGTTGAAATATTTAAAATTTCTGGCGAACTATGTTTGTATGTCCGACTGGGTCGGCGATTTTATTTACACCTGGTGAAAAAGAATTTAAGAAACATTTTACTTATAAATGGGAAATATTTTACATGATAATATATTTTAAGGAATTATAGAATGCAAAATATTAATTTATGTAGTACCCTTTGGTTAGCCTTTAAAGTTCTGTGATAATAATTTTTAAGAGCATGTTGTATAGAATAAAACTTTATTAAATAATTAATATATTTATTTTGTATTATATCTAAACAATATTTTATTTTCAAAAACCCAACTCTTTGCTTATTATAGAGCTACCAGCTAAACGAAATTTGAATTTCAGCCGAGGTACCGAAGATATTTGCATTCATTACCAACTTGCAATTACCATATAAGGCACTTCTGGCATTATCACATCATTATTATACCCGAAAATTTGCATGCCCCCCTCCAATATGCCCGGTCCCGCTTTCCCTTTCGCCATTTTCCGCTTTTCCGCATTTTCCATCGTAGTGCTGCTGCTTGCCTGCTGTTGTCACTGTTGGTCAGCAGCTGCTGTTGTTCTTTACACATTTTCCCTGCCGCCGGATGCTTTTGCTGCTTTTTGCTTTTGTTTATGGCCGGGAATTATGTTGTTAGTGTTGTTTATACTTTAAAGCCCCGTCGAATGCTTAAAGTGTTGCATTGAACGCGCCAAACGGTTTGCCAATTGCCAAATAAATTACGAAATTTACAGCCGAACCCTGGTAAGGAGCGGTGCTAAGGAAAAAATCGACATCGAACTCACTAAAGGCCCCGCCAAACAGTTTTCCCGCTGCGAATGGCTGCTGAGTGTTGGCCCATTTGGACACAATCAACGGCAACATTAACGATATCGCCTTCAAAGTGCCGACCCGTACCCAACCCAAAAGCAAAAGCAAAACCAACCCGACCCAGCCGGATCCGGGTTCTGCTGGGGTCCGGGTCCGAAGTACGGGTCCGGGCAATAGCACGGCAAACACGCAGGTCCCCCCAATGACAAACCCCAAAAAGTTTTGCAGGTGAAGCAGATGGCCTCTACAATCTAGCGATGAGTAAGTGAATGGAATTCGGATAAATATTTCAAAGTACTATTTAGAATGTAATGGATAAATTCCAAAAAAAAACTATTAAAGCCTTATTTAATCTCTTTAAAATGTCTTTTAATTTATGAAATTCTTAATATATAGATCATATAAAATTTTTGTCACTTCTTAAAATTACTTAAATAGCATGTTTTTAAAGTATACTTTACCTTTGGAAAGTGAAGCCTCTCGCATGAGTAAAGTTCAGGACAAAACTCTAATACCCATTTAATTTATAATTCTCTTAGATACGTATTTATAATTTCACGTTACCTCGAAATAAGGCAACACATTCCCAAACTAATGTCAATAGAATTACAGGATGCCATCCCTAACAGTTTCCCCTGACCCAGTGGCAAAGAGTTCCCTGAGTTTTGCTTGTTGCGTGTCCACTTTCACTTAGTTTTCATCGGTATGTGTGTTTGTGTATGTGTCTGTCGAAGCCCCTGTATTAGTGTGTACCGAGAAATTGCGGTTTGTTTGCCAGGTAATTACATTTCGGCATTTTCTCTGTATGGGTTCACCCTCAGTTTTCTCCCCCATACCCCCCAACCAGCCCAACGATCTTCTGTGTGTGGGCATGTCAGCGTGATAATTATGCGACTATAATCGCACTTTTACATGCCAGTCCTGGCGGGGAGGTGGTGGGTAGGAAAATGGCCGGGAAAGCAAATAAGAGAAGGCAAAGGAGAGGGGGGAGAGAGGGAAACCTCAACTTGGAACTTCGAACTTGGCTAAAACACTTGAACCTTAAACGAAATATGTCGTCAAGCGGCAAAAGTCAGCAGTGCCAGCTAATTAACTGGTCGCCAGGTACAGACTTACAAACATACTTCTCGACCCGACGACGACCCCGCCCCCCTCACTTTGCCCTCCCCCCACCACCCGGCAACACATTCATGCAATATTTAAGGCAACTTGGACGGCCGGGCTTAAACAAAAGCGAAAGGCATGTTTAATCATAAGAGCAAAAACAACATGGAACGGTCGCCATTTGCCGTGTTGCCAAAGGCAGAAGGCTCCTTTCCGTTCTCAGTTCTCGGCCAAAAGCAGCAGCAGAATTGGCCGAGAACTGACGTCAACGTGGCGGGCATACAAAAAAGGGTTAAGCAAATATTGAAGTGAATAAAAACCATGAAAAGGGATTCAAGCAAAAAATTACGACAGAAATACCCGCATACGTACAGATCTATATATACATTTATAAATCTACAGCTGTGGTTAAGGTATAAGTTTAGAAGAATCTCAAAGAACTACTACTATCAGTACTAAAGCTTATAAGATTAAATGGATATAATAATGTTTATTATGTGAATGAGATCTAAAGAAATGTTTATGAATATCCATCGTTTTTAATTTTAGTTTAAAATAAGCTTATAATGTTTATAGATAAATCGGTTTGTGTTAATTAAACCTCTAGGGTAACACGTATTAGTATTGTACTTTTAAACACTTTTGGTCACCATTAGAAATAATCCAAAACTATTCGTTCTGAAAAACTGGTTGAGGTTACTAAAAACTACTAATAATTTATGCAGGCGAAGGGGAATACGGAAATAAGCATAGGGAAAGAGGGTTCCAACTTTCTGAAAAGCAAAAGTGCTATTATTTTGTCTGCAATTGTGCCGTGTGGCAAGGCAAAGCAAAGAGCGATGAAACGCAACGCATACAGTTAACTACTCTTTTGGCCGTGTCGCGCTGCTGTGGGCGTGGCACATAGAGAAGGCGTACGGGCCGCAGCGAAAGCCAGTTCCAGTTCCAGTGCAAAATCCAAAGCCAGGGCCCCAGCCTGGCTTGCTGGAGCAGCAGCTACCAATTAATGTCCTTGTTAGGCAGTGGCCTGTAAAATTGGCTTAAAAAATATGTAACCTTATGCGAGAGCGAGCCACAAACTGAATACTATGAACACTATGTGTGAGTGAGGGCTTATGTGGGAGGCCGAGGGAGACATTACGAAAAAATGATTTAAAAAAGCTTCAAAGATGTCAAAAAAACAGAAATTGTTCCGCTTGAAATATGGGTGCATCATTATAATAGACAATATTTATAGATAATTCTAGTAATTTTTCTCAAAAAAATATTTCTTATAATTTCTGTGAAAATTTATTTTTACAACTCAAAAAATAAAAACAATTTATTCGTTATACTTGACAAAAAATAATAATTAATTTCTATTCTTGTGTTTTCTTTTAGATTTCTTTATAAACATAATTTCTTTTTAATCACTGCTAAATTAAGATAGTCAATAGTACTTCTTAAAGCATGTTCTAAAGAATTAAATTACCCAGATTGATCCCGAATTCGTTTGCCGCATAAACCCCACAATGCATGTGTGTGGATACATGTTTATACTACCCGCGAGTGTGCAACAGAAGGGCAGGGGGAAGTTCTTGCCACTACAATAGCTACTGTTACGTCCTGGCTGTTGTTGCTTTTGGCTTTAAGTGAAATAAAGTTCACTCCGCTTTCTTTTTTATGCACTCGCGGCTATTATTTAATTTGCGCAGCTGGGCGTAAATGGGCGACGGCGACGGCTTTGACATGGCCAACACACGAAGGCTCTCGGAATGCCAGAGTTCGGCTTTCAGTGGCCAGCCTTTCTGCATTTCAGCATTTCATTCATTATGGCCAACCCCATGCGATGCCAGGGCGAATCATTTGATCCGCATGCGAATGCGGCCCAAAGCGGTTGCCGGGCACGCAACTTTTGACCAAAAACCAGGGGCCAAATATCGAATGGAAATGCAACATTTTTGCAGAGATATCAAAGTTGCCGCAGTGATTTGCAAAAACCAAGAAGGACACATCTTCGCCGGACAAAGGAGCCTGTCTGCCAGAGGAGCATCAACCGCAGCAGGGGTAAGGGGGGTTGCATGTGGCCATCCCAGTGCGGTGGAAGGATGGGGGGTTAGCGTTAACTCCTGCCTGCGAGGCCATCTAATCTGTAAGCATAAATTCCAATCATTTCGCAAATGGAATGTGCTAGCGCAAACCGATGAAACCGCAGAACACAACACAGCAGATGGTCGAGAAGCCGAGGAGCAGGACCAGTTCTCCTTCCGTCAAACTGTATGCGGTTCCCGGGATAAGTGGAATTTTTGGGACCGACATTGATTTTTGGCGCGTACTCTACAATGGACATGTCCCTTTCCTCTCCTGGCTTGATTTCGATTGAAGTTCTATGCTCCAAAAACTCATTTGAGGCGTGGTCTTTCTGTTAACAAATATTGAAAAGTGCCCTTTATTATGCAATTGTATGTTCGAAAAGGGCCTCTAAAATTGTAAATGATGATTAAATTGCATTATTTTTAAGAAGTTTTGGCAAACATTTTTAGTAAAGTCAAAGCAAACCTTTTCTTTACACTCACTGACAAACATAAACATGAACATAAATAAATAAAAATAGAAAAATTAAAAACCAAACATAAAAAAACAGAAAAACATAAACAAACTAAGAAAAACAGAGAAAAATAAGAAAAACGTAGAAAAACATAGAAAAGCTTAGAAAAACGTAGAAAAACTAAGAAAAACATAGAAAAACTCAGAAAAACAATGAGCTTTAACTCAAGAGATTCGAACAAGGCGCCATACTATAAAAGAAAACTTAGACCTTGTCATCTTGACTACGCTAATGAGCGTCTGTGGGACCTGAGTTATTTGAGGGTAAGCTAATGTTCAACCTAAGTTTTGTCTATAAACATATTTATTATCCATAGCACAAATGCAAGGAACTGAATTTGGAAGAGGAGTATAGGAAGTATCAGATCCGTCTGATGATCAGCAACCTATCGGTTTTCTATGTTTTGTTCATATCCGTGTGCCTAACTTTTTTAGCAGTCGAACTGATTTTCGTAGAGGTGAGATTTCACGGTTGACCATTTAAGCTAAATTCGGCTCAATAATGTCCCATGCAGTGCTTAGAAGCCATCTACTTTGACTTAATTAGCAGACAAATATCATTTGCCGTCATCCTTGTCTTGTTAAGCATTAATTTCTGCGAAAACTTCGTAAATCGCCACCGGTGGGTGATGATTTTCACCTCGGCCCTGGCGGCATATGTTGTCGTAGGCACAGGTAAGAAAGATAAATATAGATCTTGGCTTGGTCCCTTGCAAAACATTTTCTTTCAGATTTAGCGCAGAACCTGTACCATTTCACCACGCACGGCTGGCCGCTCAATGTTACATTTGACGTCTTTGTGCTCTGCATGATCTACATGTTCATGCCCATACCCTCGATCAGGGGAGCAGCCCTACTGGCCACCTCGGTCAGCACCGCTTACGTAGTCTACTACATGTACTCACTCTCGTTGAACGCGGACTTCGTCGGGCGGGACTTCAACACCTACGATGTTCTATCCGTCGATATATTACACAACGTTGGCTTCAATATGATGGGCATATTTTTCCGCGTCATGAACGAGACTATGGTGCGTGCCTCCTTCCTTGACCGCCATCAGTTCATCATGGAGGAGAAGTGGTTGCGCCACGCCCTGCAACAGGAGTCGTTGCTTCTGAATAGCATCCTGCCGCCTCAGATTGCGAAACCCATTCAGGATAGCATTAAGGACAAGATCAAGCAAAACGAAACGAACGAGTTCGACCGCTTTAACGTGGCACGTCCACGAAAGACGGAACACTTCATGGCCATCCAAATCCATCCGGATGTCTCCATCCTGTACGCCGATGTGGTGAACTACACCCACCTGACAACTACTCTTACCGTCCAGAACCTGGTGAAGGTCCTGCATGACCTCTACGGTAGATTCGACATGGCTGCCTCCACTTTCAATGTGCAACGCATCAAGTTTCTGGGCGACTGCTACTATTGTGTGGCAGGTTTGACGACTCCCGATCCAGATCACGCGAAATGTGCCGTCTCCTTGGGCATTTCCATGATCGCCAACATCCAGGAAGTGCGGTAAGCAGGGCATTTCTATTAGGTTTTAATCTTGTTCTAAACTTAACCACCCATTTTCAGGATTGAGCGTGAATTGGATATCGACATGCGCATAGGCGTCCATTCAGGATCTCTTCTCGCAGGCGTTATCGGCGAGGCAAAACTGCAGTATGATATTTGGGGTATTTCCTTTTCTGGCAGGACATTCAGAAGTCAAATGCAAAAGTTTTAATAATTTTTCAGGTTCTGATGTTGAGATCGCCAATCGTTTGGAGTCTACGGGAAGACCAGGATATGTACACGTTAGTGGACGAACTCTGAGTAACTTGAATCCCTCCGATTATAAAATAATGTCGGGCACGGAAAAGGCTCGAAATGATCCGGTGCTGGAGTCAATGAGTACCTATCTGCTCACTAGACAAGAAATTCAGAGTTCACTCGACTCCTCAGCGGCTGGTGTTGTGTCCAGTGAGAGTCTTGATATAAAGCCTGTGGAAAGTGTACGGACTCACAGATCAACTCGCGTCTCGATGACCAGAGAGTTGCGCGAAGAGTTCCGGAATATGCCAGTGGGCGGCTTCGAGTAAGTGGATACAGCGATTTGTAATCTATTACTAACTCATTCTCCCCCTGTAGCTTTTATTCGCCCTGCTGCCGCCGTCGAGATGGCGATGAGTCTCACAAGAAAACAGAGCGCGAAATCGGTATGTTTTGTGCAGCCTTTAAGGATAAAAATCTGGAATGGAATTTTATGCACCAGCCGGATTATATTTTCAAGTCCTCGATGCTGCTAGCCTGGGCAATAGGTTGCTGCCTGATCTACATCCAAATAGTGACGTCACACTCTTTTTGCACCACCTGCATTGTGGTCGACTTGGTTACATTTTCATTTCTGACCTGTCTGCTGTGCATCTCGTGGTACAAGAAAGTGTGTTGGTGGAAGAGTGGACGCTACGAATTCAAAATGCACGACAAATATAGCTGCATTGTGTTTCATATGTTCGAGAAGATCCAACACAGTGTGACTCTGCGCATTAGCACCTATTTGCTGATTGTCATTTGCTACTATTCGGTGATCTCCCTGATAATGGTAAGTCTTGAAGACCTTGTACCCGAAAACTCGAAGCTATTATTTGTTTTCCATTAGTTTTGGAACCCTCTTATTGGAGCTATAAGATATAGTTCCGACTTATGTACACTCAAAAAATTAATCGCCCTGATTTATAGAAATTTGCTTCACTGACGATTTTTTTCTTAAAATATAAAAAAAATGTTCTACTGATGAAGAACATTTTCCTTAAATAAATCAAAATTTATTAAATATAAGAAATTTTCCTAAAATATAGAATAAAATCGCCAGTGACGCAAATTTCTAAAATTCAGGGCGAATAAGTTTTTGAGTGTACTAGCTGCAATAAAACGCTTTGGGAGGGTTTTATTCCGAAAGTTTTAGAACTAAGGGACTAGTTTGCGTAGAAATGGACGGACGGACGGACAGACGAACGGACAGTCGGACATGGCTAGATTGACTCGTCCTGTGATGTTAATCAAGAATGTATATTCTTTGTGGTCGGAAACGTCTTCTTCATTTCGTTGCGAACTTTTTACTGAAATTATTACACCCTCAAAACAGGCATTAAAATGGAGAAATAAATAGAGAAAAATATGCAATATATCAATTATACGTAATTTAATTTTCTTACGATAAAATGGTCTTAATTTAGTTTTTCGAAATTAAAAACAATTGTAGTCTAAGCGTGAAACAACTTCTTTTTATCTATAGATAGACTGTGACCGCGACGAATTCGAGATGAGTTACATTGAGAGCAAACTCTTTCACTATGAAATGGATCGGGATGTATGCTTCCATCCTTGGTCCTTTACCAACATGATTTCCCTGATCCTTGGCATTAGTTACACATTCGCCCGCATCCCGTTCTCCCTGAAGATATTCATCAGTTGCTGCGAAACCGTCGCCTTCGTGCTGATCGTGTTTTTCCAGTTTGCGTTCAATTTTCAGCACAGTGCTACCACGACTCCGCATTTGAGAGCGGAAATAGCGCATTGTCTTCGGGTCTGCATGATGTTGGCCACTATGTATGCCAAGGAGCGACAGTCAGAGTTCAACACTAAAATGAACTTCAAGTGAGTCGAATATATTTGTAATATAAGTTCTTTCAACTCTAAATTCTGACTGTGAACAGGCTCAACGTGGATTTGCAAAACAAGCAAAAGGCGGCCGATGTTACAAACCAATCAATCATAATTCTTCTCAATAATAGTCTCCCTTCTCATGTTGGTCAGTGAGTCTTGTATAGATTTCTGCACAAAATCAATAAAATTATCTCTTCCGCAGTCGACCTCTATCTCAACTCCTTAGCCAAACACGAACTGTACTATGAAAATTATCAAATGGTATCGGTCATGTTCGCCATGCTAATTAATTTCCCAATGAATTTGCCTAGCTTACGAGTGCTAAACGATATCATAACGGAATTCGATAGACTGGTAAGCCAAAATTTGGAATCTATTATGGTTTCATCATTACTTTCGTTTGCAGTTGAACGCCTACAGGAAATATTACGTAGTTGAGAAAATCAAAGTCGTTGGCTGCACTTATATGGCAGCATGTGGATTGGATTTTAACTTGGCCTCAAATATGCGCCAAAGCAGTCACTATCGAAATAGTTCTCTTCATTTTGAGGGTTAGTATTGAAAACTGGTATTTTGTTTTGTTAACGAGTGATCCAATCTTTATTCCAGTGGAACAGGCGCGCCTTAAAAGAATAACGTTGGGCGTCAGTGAAGAAAGCGACGACAGCGATGTCAACAATGACGAGGTGGTCTTTATGATGACCACTTTCGCTCTGGACCTGATGCGCACCCTCTCGGCGTGCAACAAGGCCTACTCGGGTTCCTACTTCGAGAGGTCCCTGTCCAGCGGAGAGATCTGCATCGGAATCTCCAGTGGCGAGATAATGGCCGGCGTGGTGGGCGCTTCCCAGCCGCACTACGACATCTGGGGGAACCCGGTCAACATGGCCTCCCGAATGGAGTCGACCGGGCTGCCTGGGCACATCCAGGTGACGGAGGAGTCCGCCAAGATCCTCGAGAAGTTCGACATTCTTTGTACCTACCGCGGCATGACTTATGTGAAGGGCCGTGGTGAAATACCCACCTACTTTGTAGGCATTGATGAGAACCTAAAGTTCATGTCCTTGAAATTGCTCAATCAGAGTTCGTCAAGACGTTTTTCAGTCGTGTCTTCACTGGATCCAGATTCTTTCGGTAGGAATTCTTCTAGTTTATCAAGCGAATAAAAAAAAAACTTACAAATATATATTTTAAAATTAACTACTTAAAATGCCTTTTTTTGCAAAGATGCTTACGTGTTTAAAACCATAAGGTGTATGTTGGTAGTCGACTTTTCACGAACATGTGTAAAATTTGATTTCTGAGTGTAATAGTGTTAGGCCTTTTATACAAATGTGTCGTATTTTTTCTCATAAAAAAATCAAAAAGTGTCCAAATGTGAAATGTTTTTTCTGTTTCCTTGTTTCACTAAATTCATAAGCTAAAGTAGGCAATGTGTTGAATGTTCAGGTTTTGAGTTCCGTCTTGACATTCGACCTTGTAAGCCAGATCAGTTTGTGAATAATAAATCAAAATGCCTTCGCCTCGTGGAAAGTGCCAGCTTAACTTTGCGAGGGAACGCATGTGGGAACCCGGCTACCTCAAGGTAAATAAAAATACTACTTGAGATCTTTATAAGTAAACTAAATGCATTCTGCAGGCCAAATGTATAGAGCTGGGCCTGGAGAACGAGTTTCGATTGTATCGGATCCGCCTTTGGAAGAGTTACCTATTCTCTTTCTTTCTGCTGCATTTTTTCGTCACTGCTGTGCACTGTACCCTGCTGTTAACCACCATTGAGGTAAGAAACCTGTACCTTTTAATTCAATTGACTCTAAATACTTAACATTAGGTGTTGGTTAGCGATTTCTTTAATAAAACCTTTAAAAATATATGCAAAAGTTAAGGTTAAATAGACGTCATCGCCAGTGAATAAATATTTCTTTATATGTGTAATGAATTAAATATTTTATTTTCAGCGCCGATCAATTATCTATTTTGATGTGGCTCTTAGTGTTGGATGTACCTTGGTCCTCTTCCTAGTACTGAGTGTTAATTTCTGGGATGGCTTTATTGCGAAACACACGTGGTATATGTTTGGCAGTTCGATGTTTACGTCCCTGACTTTGGTATTCGCTGGTAAGTGTTGTTAACTGTACTTGTCTACCATTTCCTTATCCTAACAATGGAATTAAAAGATCTTACTGTATCCATTTACCATCACTATGTCCACAACTGGCAACTGGGGTCGTTCTACGACACCTATATTGTGTACATGGTTTACATGTTCCTGCCGATCCACTTCATGAGCGGTGCAGTCCTTTTAGCTGTGCTAGTCTCCGCCCTCTACATCATCTACTACGTGCAATTCTTAGCTGAAGGATTTCCCCAGTTTGTGTCCCAACTGTTTTCCGACGGCGGAATGTCCGTGGACTTGGTCCACTATCTGTGCCTCAATCTAGTGGGCATTTTCTACCGCGTGATAAACGACACGGTGGTGCGCTCCTCATTCCTGGACCGCCATCAGTACATCAAGGAGGAGCTCTGGCTGCGCAACGCCCGAATCCACGAGAAGCATCTTCTGGACTCCATCCTGCCGCCGCAGATCTCAGAGCCGCTGCAAAAGGACATTCAGAACCGCATTGTCCTGACCAAGCGCGGCGCCGGCATTCGATCCTTGAGTGCCTTGGAACGCGCCATGGCCATCCAGATTCATCCCGATGTCTCCATCCTGTATGCAGATGTGGTGAACTACACCCACTTGACCACAACATTGACAGTGGAGAAATTGGTGAAGGTTCTGCACGATCTGTATGGGAGATTCGATTTGGCTGCCTTGCGCTTCAAAGTGCAGCGCATCAAGTTTCTGGGTGACTGTTACTACTGTGTGGCGGGTTTGTCCAACCCCGATCCCGATCACGCGAGCAATTGTGTGGCATTAGGACTTTCAATGATCAACGAAATCATGGAAGTACGGTAAGTAGCCCCATATTGTCAAATCTTAAAGAAATCTTAAATGTTTCAAATATCCTTGTTGCTCCATACAAGTTTCATAATGGAACCTCCTACTTACCTCAAAATATTACTATTCCTTTGCTATGCGAAATATACAGTAACTCCCAAGGCCTAGACATAAATATGCGCATTGGAGTTCATTCGGGAGATCTGTTCGCTGGTGTCATTGGCGAAGCCAAGCTGCAGTTCGATATTTGGGGTAAGATGGACATTCTCCGCATCGACCCCCCGTAACCATAATAACCGCTGTTTCCAAAACTTATTTAGGATTGGACGTGACAATTGCCAATGTCCTTGAGTCCACAGGAGTTCCGGGATTCGTGCACATCAGTGGTTCAACCCTGAATAATCTCAGCCAGCATCGATATGTTATTAAAGATGGTCCTGAAATGGCAAGGAATCACCCCCTTCTGAGAAGATACCGCATACGTACTTACATTATTCGAGATGATTTAAAGAAAGATGACGAAGAAAGTGACGAGGACTTCGGTGAACTGAGTGTTCTCTCCCTCTTTAGCACAGGATCAAGACAGATATACACTAATAATACTAAAAGCTTAAAAGCGATTTTTAATGCTGAGTTGCGCGAAGAGTTCCGGAAAATGCCGGTCAGTGCATTTAAGTAAGTATTAGATGGATTAGAATAATAAAAGATGGAAAAACATAGATCTTTATCGGATGTAAAGCGCGTATATTACTATTTTTAAAACAATTTCACCCTCCTGTAAAACAGTCCCAAAACCTTATTCGGCATATATCGACAGAAAACAGGACTAAAAGTGCCATTAAACATCTGCCTAAAATACAATGATTCAGATCTGGAGAGAGCATATCTAAAGCAAACCGATTACATGTACAAGTACAGCATGCTTCTGGCTTTAATCGTTGGATACTGTTTGGTATATATCGAAGTTATGGACACTAGGATTATATGCCCTTTATGCATGATTTTGCCCGCCATCGTGACCGTAGTACAGACTATTTTGACCTTCATTGCTTGGTACAAGAAGATTTGCTGGACAAGGTTTGGCAATAAGCCCCACAATTACAGCCGCATCAGCTGCATTATTTTTCGCGTACACGAGAAAATCCTAGCCAGTCCGGGCATCCGCTTGGTCATTTACCTTTTCCTAGTGATATCGGGGTTTTCCGTAATGTGTTTTATTGTAGTAAGTATGCTACGTGATTAACAAGGTAAACCAAGCTTAAGTGTCCCACGAATATTTGAATTAGATGTCCTGCGATCGCGAAGAGTTTGCATTGGCGATTATTGAGGAAAAGCTCTTCCACTATGAGCAAGAAAGAAATATATGCTTTCATCCCTGGGTTACATCCAACATGGTCTCCCTGATGATTTGCCAAACCTTCACATTCACCAACGTTCCGATCGTGGTGAAGACTACAATGGCCATTTCAGAGACCATCGCCTATTTGGTGCTGATTTTCTTCCAGTTTGAGTTCGTTTTCCACCACAGCGTGACGACGAATCCCAGTTTTCCCGCTGAGTACGCACATGCCCTGCTTATATGCATTACCCTGCTAACTATGATTGTGAAGGAGCGCCAACTTGAGTTCACAAACAAAGTAAACTACCAGTGAGTTCGTCATTAATTAAATAAATAATTATAATATTGTACTTGTATTTTTTAGCTGGCGTGTTGAGTTAAGGAAGAAGGAAACTGACGCCAATTTAACCAATCACTCGATCATAATTATCCTCAACAACATCCTTCCCTCTCATATCGGTTAGTCCTAGACTGGTGTGAGCTCACAGATTCAATTAATTTGTCCTCTCTTTTTTGCAGTCGACGTCTACATCAATTCGTTAGCCAAACACGAACTCTACTATGAAAATTATCAAATGGTTTCCGTCATGTTTGCCATGTTGATAAATTTCGAAATGGATCTAAGAACCTTGCGGATACTAAATGAAATTATTGCTGAATTTGATATGTTGGTAATTAAGTATTTCAGCCCTATTATTGACTTGCAAAATCCTAAAGATATTAGGAATTATTATATTATTTTAATAGTTGCTGTTCTACAAGGAATATTATTCGGTTGAGAAAATCAAAATCGTCGGATGCACTTATATGGCAGCGTGTGGACTGGATCTAAACTTTGCGGGTACCACTAGTAAATCAATGAAAAATAATGACTTGAGCCCGACTGGTAAATGTTTTGCATGTGGTAAACTAAATGAAGACCTAATTCCGCATTTGGTGCTATTTAGGAAGCATCGAAGGGACTAATGTGCGATTTTTGTTCGAGAAGGAACTAAAAGACCGGGAGGAAGTGGTCTTTGTGATGACCTCTTATGCTCTGGACATGATGCGAACGCTGGCCAAATGTAACAAGGCGTACCAAAGTATTGTGGCTGATCGAAATATTATGGACGGATCAATAGCCATCGGCATTTCCAGTGGCGAAGTTATGGCCGGCATAGTGGGCGCATCGCAGCCGCATTACGACATCTGGGGCAATCCAGTTAATATGGCCTCGAGGATGGAGTCGACGGGATTGCCGGGCAACATCCAGGTGACGGAGGAGTCTGCAAGAATTCTGCATGAATTCGGCATTGTCTGTCAGTATCGAGGCTTGACCTTTGTAAAGGGACGAGGCGAAATCCCGACTTTTTTAGTGGGAATTGATGACAACCTAAACTTCATCACCACGGAGGCAAAACGAACTCCCAGTCACGTCGAGCGCAGTTCAGTTATATCGTTGCAGCCCACCTATTCTAACCCAGACAATGAAGATGATCTTTTTAGCATTTCCAGACTCACCCTACAGGATTTTTAAGTGGGCTTACAATTATAAAATTCTGCACTACCCCTTATTGTGATTTCTACTGGTTCTTAAAAAATAACATAATAAACCGATGTGACTGTTTTTGAGTATTCTTGGTGTATTCTTTACATTCGGTCAGGATAAAAATTAAAAAGCATTTTTATATCCGTTACTCGTCTGCGACCCTCAGGATTACTAGCCGAGTCGATCCAGCCATATCCGTCTGTTTGTCTGTCCGTATGAACTCTGTGATCTCGGAAACTGCACAAGGTAAGATTTAAGAAAGTAAATCTCAATTAATTAAAATAACGCTAGGTGGCCCTCGTCTTCGATTTCCATATCCCTCGCTCTCTCTTTAGCTGAGTAACAGGTATCTGATAGTATATTTTATATCAATTTATTTGTTTTTTGCTGGTGTGATCGTCACGACATTTTACGTCGTTCAGATGTGATTATGTTTAAAATCAGAAATTTTTATTTTATTTTATGTTAATAAAATATGGAAGAATTATATACGATTTCTTTAACAAACACAAAAGCGACACAAGAATATATTTACATTTTAGATAATAGGTGACTCCAATTCCTCTCAATCCAAGATGCCCTTGCCTCGTCCTTAAATATCTGCCAGATACTTCGATACCGTCTACTTGCACACACCACATATTTCTACCTCGTTAACAGATGATTTTATTTTATAGAAATTAGAGTGAAACACAAAGCAAGCATATTCCTCAACTTCACACAAAAGTATCTTACTTAAGAAACGAAGAAAAACAGACAAAACAATGAACATTAATCGAAGGCAATCGGTCAGGACACCGTACAAAAGCAGACTTAGACCATGTCATCTGAACTACTCTGACGAGCGTCTGTGGGAACTGAGTTATTTGATAGTAAGTAATTAAATACGGCACCCTTGTCTGATTCATAACCATATTCACTAACCATAGGCCAAATGCAAGGAGCTAAATTTGGAAGCGGAATATAAGAAGTATCAGATTCGTTTGATGATCAGTAACCTATCCGTTTTCTATGTTTTGTACACACTTGTGTCCCTTGTTTTCATAGCAGTCGAACTGCTTTTCGTTGAGGTGAGATTTCACGGTTAATTCATTGAGCTTAATTTGGCTAAAATAATTCTTATGCAGCGCTTAGAAGGCATCATCGTTGACTTATGCGTCAAGATAATAACATATGCAATAGTAGTAAGCTTATTAAGTATTAATTTCTGCGAAAACTTTGTAATTCGCCACCGGTGGGTAATGATTTTAACCTCTGGCTTAGCGGCATACGTTGTAGTAATTGCAGGTAAGAAATAAAAATTACAATCTGTCCTTAAGTCTTAATAGGATGTTGAATTTCAGATTTAGCGGAGAACCTATATCATTATCACAGGAGCGGCTGGCCTCTCAATGCTACATATGACGTCTTTGTGCTCTGCATGATCTACATGTTCATGCCCATACCCTCGATCAGGGGAGCAGCCCTACTGGCCACCTCAGTCAGCATCGTATACGTCGCCTACTACATATACTCACTCCCGTTTACCACGATGTTCCACGAGGAGAAGAGTAACACCTACGATGTGCTATCCGTCGATATTTTACACAACGTGGGCTTCAACATGATGGGCATATTTTTCCGCGTCATGAACGAGACAATGGTGCGTGCCTCCTTCCTGGACCGCCATCAGTTCATCATGGAGGAGAAGTGGTTGCGCCACGCCCTGCAGCAGGAATCGATGCTTCTGGACAGTGTCCTGCCGCCCCAGATCGCGAAACCCATCCAGGATAGCATTAAGAACAAGATCAAGCAAAACGAAGCGACCGAGTTCGATCGCTATCACATGAAAAATTCAAGGATGACGGAACACTTTATGGCCATCCAGATCCATCCGGATGTCTCCATCCTGTACGCAGATGTGGTCAACTACACCCACTTGACAACTACGCTTACGGTGGAGAACCTGGTGAAGGTCCTGCACGACTTGTACGGCAGATTCGACATGGCTGCCTCCACTTTCAATGTGCAGCGCATCAAGTTTCTAGGTGACTGCTACTATTGTGTGGCAGGTTTGACGACTCCCGATCCAGATCACGCAAAATGTGCTGTCTCCTTGGGCATTTCCATGATCGCCAACATCCAGGAAGTGCGGTAAGCAGGGCATTTTTATTAGGTTTTAATCTTGTTCTAAACTTAACCATCCATCTTCAGGACTGAGCGTGAATTGGACATCGACATGCGCATAGGCGTCCATTCAGGATCTCTTATTGCAGGCGTTATCGGGGAGGCCAAGCTGCAGTTCGACATTTGGGGTACTTTCTTTTCTTGCAGGACATTCGCCCTCATGCCAAACGTAAAAAATTTATTTATTTTTCAGGTTCTGATGTGGAGATCGCCAATCGTTTGGAGTCTACTGGAAGACCAGGATATGTACACGTCAGTGGACGAACTCTGAGCAACTTGAACGTTTCCAATTATGTGATAATGTCGGGTCCAGAAAAGGCACGAAATGACCCAATGCTGCAATCAATGAGCACCTATCTAATTACTGGCCAAGTGAACCGCACTTCAGTTGCATCCACAATGGAAGGAGTTTTATCCGGTTCGAGTCTTGATATTAAACCTGTGGAAAGTGTACGGTCACGCAGAGCAAGTGGCGTATCAATGACCGAAGAGTTGCGCGAAGAGTTCCGAAATATGCCAGTAGGGGGCTTTGAGTAAGTGAGGAACCTTCAAGGAATTAATGATTCATGTATATTACTTCTTTGTCCTTATTTATGAATCGATGGGAATTTATCAAAGAGGATATACACACCCAAAAAAAAACTTGATATGAAACAATGATGGATTTTACGTTATGTGGTATCAATTTTGACTTGATATGCTTGAAATGTAAATAACAGGCCAGCTCGAATTTCGAATATGTCTTTCTCCCTCCCACTCATGTAACTTTAAGCGCTATCTCGCTCTATTTCGAATCTCCGAAAGAGAGATAAGCCAGAAATTTACATTGCGCATATCGAATTAACCTCGACTTGTTTTTTGTAGGAATGTACGAAACAGATTAAACCAATTTTTGGATATCCAAAATAGTTTTCTATAATTTTAAGTTTGTTTATTGATATCTTTTTTCGACGTAGCTTTCATTCGCCTTGCTGCCGCCAAGCTACTAATGAGTCTCACAAGAAAACAGAGCGCGAGATCGGAATGTTTTGTGCAGCCTTTAAGGATAAAAATCTGGAATGGAATTTTATGCACCAGCCGGACTTTATCTTCAAGTCCTCGATGCTGCTAGCCTGGGCAATCGGTTGCTGCCTGATCTACATCCAAATAGTAAACAATACTTTTCAGTGCAATGTATGCCTGGTGGTGGACCTACTCACGTTTTTTTTTCTGACCTCTCTGCTGTGCATCTCTTGGTACAAGAAATTTTGTTGGTGGAAAAGTGGGCGCTTTGAATTCCAAATGCACAACAAATATAGCTGCATGGTATTTCACCTGTTCGAGAAAATCCAACATAGTGTCACGCTGCGCATTAGCACCTATTTGATGATTGTCATTTGCTACTATTCGGTGATCTCTCTGATAATGGTAAGTCTACTAGTTTGGGCTAAAGTCCAGGATGGCAAAAAATGGTAATATAACCTTTTACCATCAAATTTTTTAAAAAGTCATTTATTTTATTTTTGTGAGGGAAAATAGGACCGTATAATGTAAGCTTTTAAAACATAAATCCCAACTCATTTGAGTTTGCTGATTCGGCTGAATAGCTTTTATGATTATTGTGGGATGGTACAAATTTCAGTTTATTTGGGAAAGTAACAGAATGTTTTTTTCAAAAACTTAAATGAATGAATGTTTCTTGATTTGACTTATTTAATTTCACAAAACCGACTTCTTTTTGGAACGCACTGGACAACCTCTTTTCTGCTCGACTCGCTGAATTCTTATATTCGCGTCGCTTCTTTTCGCTCGATGCTTTTTTAAAACAAGAGAGAACGCTATAGTCGGGTGCCCCGACTATCAGATACCCGTTACTCAGCTAAAGGGAGTGCGAAGGAGATGGAGAAAAACTTTGATCCGCCGTAACTTTTTAACGAATGGTCCGATTTAAAAAATTTCTTCTACATTTCGATAGGTATTGATAAACACAATAAAATTGCGTTTTTACTTTTCCAAAATATTGAAATTTTTAAAATCGTATATAAGCGATTGTGGGCGTTAGAGGGGGCGTGGCACCCTTTTGAAACAAACTTGCGCTGCGTAGGAACTCCTAGAATCTGCATGCAAAATGTCAATCTTCTAGCTTTTATAGTTTCCGAGATCTCAGCGTTCATACAGACAGACAGACGGACAGACAGACGGACAGACAGACGGACAGACGGACAGACGGACAGACGGACAGACGGACATGGCTAGATCGACTCGGCTAGTGATCCTGATCAAGAATATATATAGTTTATAGGGTCGGAAACGCTTCCTTCTACCTGTTACATACTTTTGCACGAATCTAATATACCCTTTTACTCTACGAGTAACGGGTATAATAATGTACTCGATTCTCTTTAATGTACTCGATTAATATTTTATAGTATTGGATAACAAATAATAATAAGAGCGCAATTCAAAATCAAATTAAGGTACTGGGCCTAAACCGTTGATGTCGCTGTTAATCATACGCTGCAAGGGTGATACACTTATACTAAATTCCCCAATCCTACATTCGGCCATCCTACAATTTTATTCGCCCCTGAATAAACTCCATTTCTTCATAAACTCGGCTGCTGTAGTTGTTAAATTCGGCCCCTCATGGTTTCCTACTTTTTGTACTTCGTAGCGCCCATGTTTCATCTTCTTTGTGACCTTATAGGGTCCGAAAAACTTTGGTCTAAGCTTCATGCCTACTCCATATTGAGTGCGTTTTATACCTACGAGATCACCTAAGTTGTAATCTGTTTCAATCTTTCTTTTTTCATTAAACGTTTTCCTATTCTCCTGTTGTACCTTCTCAATATTTTCCTGAGCTGTTCTTCTTATTTCATCTCTTTCATCATTTAGTTCATCGATTTCGATGTCATCGAAGAGCTTTCTAATGTCATCGTCCTTCTTGCGCATATTTAATCCAGTAAGGATTTTGAAGGAAGAGTATTTCGTCGTTCTGGGAGGTGTGTCATTAAGAATTTGTTGGATTTTATCCACGTGACAGTACCAGTTCGCTTGGTTGTTCTGGCAAAGTTTGCTAAGCATGGGTATAACAATTTTATGGATCCTTTCGACCTGTCCATTGCCTCTTGGCATGCCTGTTGTTATGTGTAACAATTGGATTCCTTGGTCACTGCAATAGTCCTTAAAGGTACTGGACGTAAATGCGGTGCCTCTATCTGTTACGATGCGCCGAGGGTTTCCAAAAATTGCTGATTGCTTTTCCAGCCTGTTCACTACCTCGTCAGTGCCTGTTGATCGCGTTGGATATAACCAAACGAATTTGGAAAATCCGTCTACCACGGCTAAAATGTGGTTGTACTTCTTTTTGGTTTCGGTAAGCGGACCGACATGATCAATATGGTAAGTACCCAGAGGTTCTTGGACTTTGTCAATTGGCGTCAGCAATCCTTCCTTTTTTCCTCTCTTTGAATCTATAATCAAGCACTCTACGCAACTCTTGACGAACCTTTCTACCTTGTCTTGAATGTTCTGGATATAATAACATTTTTCCACTAGCTCTCGAGTCTTCTTAGCGCCGTATTGACCTTCGCGATGTACAATTCCAATTATTTCTCCATGCATGGATTCTGGAACGACTAGCAGCTCTTTTGTAACATCTTTATAGAGAATGTTGTTTTTAACGAAAAAATCCTCGTAACTCTCTGCGCTGTCTAGAACTGTTTTTACGGCTTTTATCCACTCGTCTTTGTTCTGTGCTTCTCTTAAACGATATTTTGTCGAATCTTCGATAAGAAAGCAAGTTAGGCGGCTGAGCGCATCGACGTGTTTCATCTGACTTCCCGCTCTGTGCTGTACGGAAAACTTAAACTCTTGTAAGTACATAGCCCATCTGGCGACTCTTGGCGGGACATCGTCTTTTTTCATGGTCATCGCAAATGCTACGCAGTCGGTGACAATTGTAAAATTGATTCCCAAGAGATAAATGCGCCACTTCTTAACAGCGTTGATAACAGCTAGTACTTCAAGCTCGTAGGCGCTATATTTTTCCTCGCACTGAGTAGTCTTTCTGCTCATAAATTCTACTGGGTGAAGTAGTTGATCTTCTGAGTCCTTTTGCATGAGTATTCCACCAAATCCGAATTTACTCGCGTCCGTATGAACTTCAGTTACGGCACAAGGATCGTACAGTCTAAGAACTGGGGCAGTGGCTAAAAGACTCTTCAGATTTTCAAAGCTAACTAAGCACTGATCGTCAAGATGAATATGTTTCCCGTCACGCGACTTGGCGGTCTTGCGAGGTAGATCAGTTAAGGGTTTTGCTTCTAGAGCATAGCCTTTCATGAAACGACGCAAATATGATGTTAACCCCAAAAATCGCTCAAGTGCCTTTCTGCTTTGCGGTGCTGGGTAGTTAACAACTGCCTTGACTTTGTCCTCTGTTGGAGCAATCGTTGCGTTTTCGATTAGGTATCCAAGAAATGTGATTTTTCGCTTTAAAAACTGAGCTTTCTCCCACTTGATGCGCAACCCTGCCTTAGATGCGACTTCTAAGACTTCATTCAAAACTGATAGTCCTGATTTCTCATCAGCTGTTGGTATGATGATGTCGTCCATGTAGACGACGATTTTGTTGGACTGCATGAGATCTCTTAGCACAGCACCTACATAGCGGCAAAATACTGCGGGGGAGTTGCTTATACCAAATGGGACGTGCGTGAACTCATATTGTCCGTTATGTGTTACGAAGGAAGTAAACTTTCTAGACTCCACTTCGATTGGCACGTGAAAAAATCCGTTGGCTAAATCTAGGGTGGTAAAAACTTTGGAACCCTGCAAACGATCTAGCACGTCATCGATTAACGCCATCGGAAAGTTGTCCCTTTTGATCTTCAGATTGAGTCTCCTATAATCACAACAGAAACGTTTCGATCCATCTTTATTTGACACTAGCACCACAGGTGATGCGTACTCTGAGCAACTTGGAATAACGATCCCTGCATCTAGCCATTCCCGAACTTGTTTTTCGATTAGAACCCTATTCTCGTAGGATGTTCGCCTCGGATGTTGAAATATTGGTACATCATCTTCCAATATTATTTTCATCTCGACTGGAGACCTTATTGTCTGTTTCGGTTCGTATCCTGTGATAAGCTTTTCTACTTCAGATTTTTTGAGATTATCCAAATGACTCAAATCGATTCTGTCAAGTACGCTTTGCTCCTCAACCATCTCTGTGACGCACATCGCCTTGAAAGTTTCAGCAAATACAACTTCGGTAGTTTTTGCAATGAAGCGAATTCCATTTGTGCTGAACAAAATGTCGACTTTCTGAAGGATATTGTTTCCAATGATAGCTGTATACTCTAACTCATCCCGTTTGACTACGTGGAAGGTTATTGTAAAGCTGATATTGTCAACGAAAACATCTAGGTCAAAACTTCCTATGGTAATCAATACACCTTTCCCCATGCCTTTGAGATGTTTGATCTCTTTCTTAAGCTTAAAACCTTCGAATTTTCTGAACACATCATCTCTCATGAGGCTCAGATCGCTGCCAGAATCTACCATGGCTGTAAAAGATATATTCTGAGCGCTAAAGCTTTTGTAAATAAGACCTGCTTCTGGGGATACATCCTCAAGGACATTCGTTGCTTCCGTTTTGCCTGAAGATGACTGCTGAGTTTCACCGCACTGTTTGGAAATGTGCCCAGTTTTGTGGCATTTGTAGCAAATTACTTCATCTACGCATTCTTTTGCAAAATGACCCTCCTTTCCACACTTGTAGCACTTTTTTGATGAACTGTTCTGAACTTTCTTTGCTTGCCTTTGATTATTGTGCTGATATACTTTTTTTTCTTCCTTATGTATAGCGTGGCCTCTAACTTTCTCATAGATTTCAATCTCAACCTTTAAGTCCTTTACCGTTTTGGATCTATACAAGCCAGCTTTGTTTGATTTGCTGTCAGGGACTCCTTCGATAAAGTAAGATACCAAACTTTCTTCCTCTAGCTTAATAGGCTTGCTCAGTTCCATCAGACTGTACAAATACTCCAAGCATGTCTCTGTTGCTTTCTTCTCTCTTTGCCTTAACATTTTGTGAACATCGGCTGAACACAACTGCTTTCCAAACTCCTTCTGTAGCTCAGATTTTAGGATATTCCAACCACGCACTCCTGTCAAACTTCTAATAAAAAGCTTAGCTGCTCCGCTTAAAAGTTGTTTTGCGTAGATGTACTTTTGTAAATTATCCCACCCAACTGTTATAGCTACATCCTCAAATTCGATTAACCAATGGTTAATGTCCTGCTGATCTGATCCCGAAAAACTTGAAATGCTATCCTGAACGTCTCGCAAGGTAAACCTAGAACTCGTGGGGTTGATAGCATCTTGGAATTCAGTACTCTGTGAACCAACCTCGCTTGCATTATCTTCCTGATCAACATCAACAGCATCTGACACCTGGAAATGATCTAAAAGTCTATCTTGCAATATGCTCTTTCTACCATCTGTACTCAAGCCCAACTCAGTTAGCTTTTCTTTTAGTAAAGGTACTGTCAGCGATAAAATAGTTCTAGCGTCCATGGTTACGATAAGATGTCGTTCACAGGTTTATACTTATTCTCTACAAAAACAATTTACATAAACAAATTTTTGGGGAAATGTATATAAATTTAAATGAATGGAAAGAATGTACTCAAGTTTTCGTTGCAGCACTGGGTAGCGCTGTGGACTTCGTCAGCTGTTTCACTCTCAGCAAGTTGGCACTACGTCTTGGTGGCACCTTGGCTTCTCTGCGCCCTCGTCGGCACAGCTCTTGGAATCACGTCGTCTTGCAGATCTTCTTCCAGCTCTTCTCCGGCAATGCTTCTCTGGTTTGGTGCGATCTCTCCTGGCAGGACCGCTTCTGGTGGAGTCTCTCTGTTAGACCCGATTCGATCCGCCTCTTTGGAAGCAGCTTCTCGTAGCAGAATGAACTTCGTCTAGTTGGTCTTCTCTGGTAGCCCTTCTCGTATAGGACTGCAGGACTTCTTCTGGTGAAGCTCACTCGGCAATGCTTCTCGTGTAGTCCGTCTCTTAGCAGGAGTTGCAAGTTGCAAAATTTCGACTGGCAGCGCTTCTCTGGTAGCGCATCTCTGATAGCCCTCTGACTGGCCGAAGAGCACCTCTATTCGCCAAATTCCTCTGGTAGCACCTCTATTCGCCAAATTCCTCTGGTAGCACCTCTATTAGCCGCTTCTCTCTGCTGGCGCCACTTTGCTCGTCTTGAATACGTCTTGATTTATTGCTTCGTAATATCCACCTCGCAAATACACGGTTAATTCGACTCCTCTTTGATTCACAACTCGGTTATAAATTGCAACGCCTTAGCCAATATGATGCACGCCAACACTACTCGTCTGGTTGAAATTTTTGTTGGTGTCGCTTTACTTTTTGATTGTTGCTAATAGTCGTCTCTTTCTCTCATCTGGCTTTGCGAATTTAGCGTCCACTAATACACGTAAAGCTGCAATCTCCTCCAATTTTCCGACGAGTGCGACTTGTCGTTGATCACACACGTGAAAATTTCGCAAGAAATTTCTAGAAAGCGTTGAGAAAATTCTAGGCAGTTTTTTCACCTCAACTTTGCGATTTTTCCTTCGGTCTGTAGAATATTCACGGCTCACTTTAAACCAAGTTTTTTGTATGTTAGCGCATACAGGGTACATTCACTTTTCTGAACTTAATCCCGGACGAGCCCCCATTAAATTTGTGGGATGGTACAAATTTCAGTTTATTTGGGAAAGTAACAGAATGTTTTTTTCAAAAACTTAAATGAATGAATGTTTCTTGATTTGACTTATTTAATTTCACAAAACCGACTTCTTTTCGGAACGCACTGGACAACCTCTTTTCTGCTCGACTCGCTGAATTCTTATATTCGCGTCGCTTCTTTTCGCTCGATGCTTTTTTAAAATAATGTACTCGATTCTCTTTAATGTACTCGATTAATATTTTATAGTATTGGATAACAAATAATAATAAGAGCGCAATTCAAAATCAAATTAAGGTACTGGGCCTAAACCGTTGATGTCGCTGTTAATCATACGCTGCAAGGGTGATACACTTATACTAAATTCCCCAATCCTACATTATTATATTCATAATATTTATAATTCATTTATCTGAAATTTGTAGATTGACTGTGACCGTGACATATTTGAGCTGAGTTATATAGAGAGCAAACTCTTTCACTACGAAATGGATCAGGGCATATGCTTCCATCCTTGGTCCTTTACCAACATGATTTCCCTGATCCTTGGCATTAGTTACACATTCGCCCGCATCCCGTTTTCCCTGAAGATATTTATCAGTTGCTGCGAAACCGTCGCCTTCGTGCTGATCGTGTTTTTCCAATTCGCGTTCAATTTTCAGCACAGTGCTACCACGACTCCGTATATGAGAGCGGAAATAGCGCATTGTCTCCGGGTCTGCATGATGTTGGCCACTATGTATGCCAAGGAGCGCCAGTCAGAATTCAACACTAAAATGAACTTCAAGTGAGTCAAATAATATGAGATTTGATCTTAATACTTTCTTACAATCAACCTTATATTCTGACTGCGAACAGGCTCAACGTGGATTTGCAAAGCAAGCAAAAGGCGGCCGATGTTACAAACCAATCAATCATAATTCTTCTCAATAATATTCTCCCTTCTCATGTTGGTCAGTCAAGTTTGAATTGATTTCTGCATAAAATCAATTAAATCATCTCCTCCGCAGTCGACCTCTATCTCAACTCCTTAGCCAGACACGAACTGTACTATGAAAACTATCAAATGGTGTCGGTCATGTTCGCCATGCTAATTAATTTTCCAATGAATTTGCCCAGCTTACGAGTGCTAAACGATATCATAACAGAATTCGATAGACTGGTGAGCTAAATTATTGAATCTACCACTCTCACTTTTTTATCTTTTTACTCGATCGTAGTTAATTGCCTACAGGGAATACTACGTAGTTGAGAAAATCAAAGTCGTTGGTTGCACTTATATGGCAGCATGTGGATTGGATTTTAACTTGGCCTCAAACATCCGGCAAAGCAGTCACGTTCGCCATAGCTCACTTCATTTCGAGGGTAAGAACTGAAAGAAGCAGAAAAAATTAGGGTTTTTTAAATTTATATTTCTGATAAAGGGTAGAATTAACATTTTAACGTACTATATTATTTGTTTTTTTAATTTTAGTATCTAGAAACAAAAATATAAAAGGCATATATCCAGGGACCGTAACTGTTCTGAGTTTAATTTTAAAAATCAGATTTTAGCAGTTATTTCCTGATTTGTGAAGTAAAACGCAAAGAATATCTGTTATTTTTTGATTTTTATAATAAAAGTTGAAAAATAACCGTTATTCTCCGTGATTAAAACTAAAGCTCTAACCTGATTTATAGCGATTTTGTGGGTAAAAAAAAATTTTAAGAAAATATGGTTGGCTTTTTTTAAAGATTTGTAGTGAGTTATACAAAACATGGTAAGCATACCCTTGCAGAGGGTATAATTTTGAATTATTTAATTTTTTAAAATGGCAAGAAATGACAGATAAATATTTAAATCGACAAATAATTATTTGTTATAACAGTTATTTTTGAGTTTTATTATAAAAACAAAAATCATTACGGATTTGTAAATTACCAAAATTGTGGTGTATTTCAAAAAATTTTAGGACTCTTCTATGTGCATGATTTTTTTGTAAAAAAAAAATTTACAATAACAGTTGTTTTCGGTCCCTGATCTGTTCTATTTTTAGTGGAACAGGCGCGAAGTCAACGATTGACCGATGAGAACTATGACAGCGATTTCAGCAATGACGAGGTGGTCTTCATCATGACCACGTTCGCTCTGGACCTGATGCGCACCCTCTCGGCGTGCAACAAGGCCTACTCGGATTCCGTTTTCGAGAGGTCCCTGTCCAGCGGAGAGATCTGCATCGGAATCTCCAGTGGCGAGATAATGGCCGGCGTGGTGGGCGCTTCCCAGCCGCACTACGACATCTGGGGAAATCCGGTCAACATGGCCTCCCGAATGGAGTCTACGGGGCTGCCTGGGCACATCCAGGTGACGGAGGAGTCCGCCGAAATTCTCCAGCAGTTCGACATTCTGTGCCAATACCGCGGCATGACCTATGTGAAGGGCCGTGGTGAAATACCCACCTACTTCGTAGGCATTGATGAGAACTTGAAGTTCATGTCCGCAAAGTTTGAGAAGCAGGGTTCGACAAGACGATTTTCAGTAATGTCTTCACTAGATCCAGACTCTGTAGGTAGGGATTCTTCTACCTGGACTGCATCAAGCGAATAGCTTTATATATAGCTTTTGCAAAATTTTATCAAATATGTATTTTAAATATAACCATTAGGGTCCCCTTTATATGATTTCAATAAATTTTAAATTTTAGTTTATATTTTCTTTGCTGTTTTTTTTAGTTAAACTTTCATTCGAGCTTCAATTAAATGCGAAATACTCCACTTTATAATTTAAAATTTTATTAAAAAAATAAATGTTTTGCCGTAAATTTTATTTTTTGTTAATATTTATATTTTGTGTTTTGCTTCAAATTATGAGTCTCAACATTTTTAAAAGTATTTGTCTTAAAAAGAAGGTGAGTTCATCCAATGATTTTTATTTTCCAATGATATTACAAGTAGGCATTCAAAGTAGGCATTGTGTTAAAAGTTTAGCTCTTCAGTTGCAACGTGGTGACATTTGAAATCACAAGCCAGATCAGTTTGTGAGTAATAAACGAAAATGCCTTTTCCTAAAGGAAAGTGCCAGCTTAACTATGCAAGGGAACGCATGTGGGAACCCGGCTACCTCAAAGTAAATATAAATGCAGTTTAAGTTTTCTAGATGTAACATAAATGCAATCGGTAGGCCAAATGTGCAGAGTTGGGCTTGGAAAACGAGTTCCGATTGTATCGGATACGCCTTTGGAAGAGTTACCTATTCTCTTTTTGTCTGATACATATTTTCGTGACCGCTTTGCACTGCAGCCTGCTGTTAACCACCATTGAGGTAAGTTTAAAGAGGATATTTTGAGAGATAAAAGGTGGATTACTCCATAACGCCCTCAGATTTCAAATGTAACATATTTTATTTAATTTTAACAAATATAATCTTCCTAGTATATAAATTCTAGAAATCAAAGTTAAAATTTAAGGTTAAGTTGAACGCCCTAATCAAGAATAGATCACCTAAAATTTTCTTCTACAATTTCTTCATCTTCTACATTTTCACTTACGAAAAAATCCTAAGTTGTTCGGTTATGTAAGGAAATATTTTTGTATTTTTAAGCGCCCATCAATTATCTATTTTGATGTGGGCCTTACCGTAGGATGTGCCGTGGTCCTTTTGCTCGTACTGAGCATAAATTTCTGGGATAGCTTTATTGCCAAACACACGTGGTATATGTTTTGCAGTTCGATGTTTGCCTCCCTGCTTTTGGTATTTTCTGGTAAGTTCTGATTATACTACCTAGTACCTAGTAATGCCATATCCTTAAACCTGCTTTTAGATCTAACTCATTCTATTTACCACCACTACGCCCACAACTGGCAACTGGGGTCGTTCTACGACACCTACATTGTGTACATGGTTTACATGTTCCTGCCGATCCACTTCATGAGCGGTGCAGTCCTCTTGGCTCTGCTAGTCTCGGCCGTGTACATTATATACTTTGTGCAATTCCTAGCCCATGGATTTACCGAATTCATAACCGAACTGTTTACCGAGGGCGGAATGTCCGTGGACTTGGTCCACTATCTGTGCCTCAATCTAGTGGGCATTTTCTACCGCGTGATGAACGACACGGTGGTGCGCTCCTCCTTCCTGGACCGTCATCAGTACATCAAGGAGGAGCTCTGGCTGCGCAATGCCCGGCTCGAGGAGAAGCAGTTGCTGGACTCCATCCTGCCGCCGCAGATCTCGGAACCTCTACAAAAGGAAATTCAGAACCGCATTATCCTGTCCAAGCGCGGCTCCGGTATTCGTTCCTTGAGTGCCTTGGAACGCGCCATGGCCATCCAGATCCATCCCGATGTCTCCATCCTGTACGCAGATGTGGTGAACTACACCCACTTGACCACAACATTGACGGTGGAGAAGTTGGTCAAGGTTCTGCACGACCTCTATGGCAGATTCGATTTGGCTGCCTTGCGCTTTAAGGTGCAGCGCATCAAGTTCCTGGGCGACTGTTACTACTGTGTGGCGGGCTTGACGGATCCAGATCCCGATCATGCAACCAATTGTGTGGCCCTAGGACTTTCGATGATCAACGAAATCATGGAAGTACGGTAAGTCTTTATTGTCATTTATTTTGCGTCAACCGTGTAAATAAATGTAAATAAATCTTGTAAAGCATTTTTGCTACTTCAGGTTTTTAAATTCAATTGGTTAAGAGTCAATATCGTACATTTAAAAAATGATTTACTTCACCTTATGTACTTTTATACTTTCTGATATTATAATTCTGTTGTTATATGAAATTCCCAGTGACGTTCAGGGCTTGGACATTAATATGCGAATTGGAGTTCATTCCGGAAATATATTCGCTGGAGTCATCGGTGAAGCGAAGCTGCAGTTTGATATTTGGGGTAAGATGGACTAATCCCACATCAACCCCCGCTTAACAGCTGTTTCCCAACTTCTTCTAGGAAAGGACGTGACAATTGCCAATGTCCTCGAGTCCACTGGAGTTGCGGGCTTCGTGCATATCAGTGCTTCAACCTTGAATAATCTGAACGAACAGCGCTATGTTATTGAAGATGGTCCGGAAAAGGCAAGGGATCATCCCCTTCTGAGTAGGTACCGCATACGTACCTACATAATTCGAGAAGACTTGCAGAAGGATGAAGAAGAGAGTGACGAGAACCTCGCAGAACTTCATGCCCTCTCCCTTTTTGACTTGGGAGCAAGGCAAAGACAAAGTGATAATACTAATGAAATCTTAAAAGAAGTCTTCTATGCTGAGTTGCGAGAAGAGTTCCGAAAAATGCCGGTCAGTCCATTTAAGTAAGTAGAATAATAATTGTGTTGAAATTAATACGAAATAATTCAGTTTTAAAATGTACATTAAATAAATTTTGTATAATTGTCAACACCTTATGACAATTTTCAAATCGGATCACTCATTTAAAACTAAAGATCAACTAATTTAATCTCCGCTAGGTGGAGCTCTTATGAAATCTCTAGAAGAATAACTTAGCTGCTTGCATATCTCCATCTCCCTCGAACTCTATTTAGTTAAATAACGACTACACTATTGTCTCTTAATATATTTGTTTAATTTAACCCCCCTGTTAGTCCGAAAACCTTATACGGGTTATATCGACAAAAGGAAGGCGTAAAAATGCCACTGTATCGCCAGTTAAACATCTGCCTGAAATACAATGATTCGGATCTGGAGAGAGCATACCTAAAGCAAACCGATTACATGTACAAATACAGCATGCTTCTGGCATTGGTCGTTGGATACGGCCTGGTGTACATTCAAGTGCTAGACACAAAATTGATATGCCCCTCATGCATGATTTTGCCCTCCATCGTGACTACAGTACAGACTATTTTGACCTTCATTGCGTGGTACAAGAAAATGTGCTGGGCAAAGTTTGGCAATACGCCCCACAACTACAGCTGGATCAGCTGCATTATATTTCGCGTCCACGAGAAAATCATAGGCAGTAGGATCATCCGCGTATTTATATACCTATTTCTAGTGATATCCGCTTTCTCCGTGATGTGTCTTATTGTGGTGAGTATTCAAAGCGATCAAAATGGAGAACAGGACTTACCGATTGACCTTTTAATCAGATGACCTGCAACCGCGAAGAGTTCGAAATGGCGTTTATTGAGGAAAGGCTCTTTCACTACGAGCAGGAGACAAAGATATGCTTTCAACCCTGGGTTACATCCAACATGTTCTCCCTGATGATTTGCTTGACCTTCACTTTCACCCACATTTCACTCGCGTTGAAGACTACAGTGGCCATTTTAGAGACGATCGGCTATTTGGTGCTGATTTTCTTCCAGTTTGAGTTCGTTTTCCACCACAGCGTGACGACGAATCCCAGTTTTCCCGCTGAGTACGCACATGCCCTGCTTATATGCATTACCCTGCTAACTATGACTGTGAAGGAGCGCCAACAAGAGTTCACCAACAAAGTAAACTACCAGTGAGTTCGGGATGCATTATTTAAATAAATAATTATATCATTGTACTCACTTGCATTTTTTTAGCTGGCGTGTTGAGTTGAGAAAGAAGGAGGCTGACGCCAATTTGACCAATCACTCGATCATAATTATCCTCAACAACATCCTTCCCTCTCATATCGGTTAGTCCTGGATTGGTAGGTCACAAATGGAATTAATTTGACTTTTCTTTCTTGCAGTTGACGTCTACATCAAGACCTTAGCCAAACACGAACTTTACTATGAAAATTATCAAATGGTTTCCGTCATGTTTGCCATGTTGATGAATTTCGAAATGGATCTAAGAACCTTGCGGATACTCAATGAAATTATTGCCGAATTTGATATGTTGGTAAGGCAAAATCTAATGAAATTTTTGAATTATACAAAATATGAAATTAAATATTTATAGTTGCTGTTCTACAAGGAATACTATTCGGTTGAGAAAATCAAAATCGTCGGATGCACATATATGGCAGCGTGTGGACTGGATCTAAACTTTGCGGGTTCCACCAGTGCGACCGTAAAAAACAATGAATTGAACCCAACTGGTAAATATATAGCTTGTATAAAACCATATTATTAATGCATTGGTTTTAGAGAACCGCGGAAGGATGAGGCAAGGACTGGTATTCACGGAGGACGAGAGGGAAAGGGAAGAAGTGGTCTTTGTGATGACCTCTTATGCTCTGGACATGATGCGCACTCTGGCCAAATGTAACAAGGCGTATCAAAGTATTCCGGCTGATCGGAATATTACGGACGGATCAATAGCCATCGGCATTTCCAGTGGCGAGGTCATGGCCGGCATAGTGGGCGCATCGCAGCCGCACTACGACATCTGGGGCAATCCGGTTAATATGGCCTCGAGGATGGAGTCGACGGGATTGCCGGGCAACATCCAGGTGACGGAGGAATCTGCCAAGATCCTTGAGGAATTCGGCATTGTCTGCCAATATCGCGGTTTGACCTTTGTAAAGGGGCGTGGCGAAATACCGACCTATTTGGTGGGAATCGATGACAACCTCAACTTCATCACTACGCAGCCGCGACGAGCCCCCAGTCATGTGGAGCGCAGTACGGTTATATCGTTGCAAGGCACCTATTCTCATCTTAATGTTGTGGATGATTTGAGTGAAATTAATAGCGAATCGGCTTCAAGACACACTTTCCAAGACATTTGAGTGGGCTTGGAATGAAAAATGTAGTATTTTCGATTACCGATGGTTGTGATTTTAATTGTTTCTTAATACAATGTGAAAATAAACAAAGCCAGGTTTTTGTTAAATGGAATTAACTAAGAAAACATAATTATTATTTTGCTTTATTGGCTTTATTACCAGTGATAACAAGCAAAAGAATTAATTAGAAATTTTTTTACAAGAATATATCAAACTATTCGGTTTTACTTTCATCAGCAGATGAATGGAGGCTAAATTCGTCTGGATCCAGTGATGACATCACTGTAAAACGTCTTGACTCCCGTTTGTCCAGTTTCGTGGACACTAATCTTAGGTTCTCATCGATGCCCACAAAGTAGGTGGGTATTTGACCACGGCCCTTCACAAAGGTCATGCCGCGATACGTGCACTGAATGTCGAACTCCTCGAGTATTTTGGCCGACTCCTCCGTCACCTGGATGTGTCCGGGCAGCCCCGTAGACTGCATTCGAGAGGCCATGTTGACCGGATTGCCCCAGATGTCGTAGTGCGGCTGGGAAGCGCCCACCACACCGGCCATTATCTCGCCGGTGGAGATACCGATGCAAATCTCCCCATTCGATAAAGCCCGATTAAAGGGCCTGCTTGAGTAGGCCTTGTTGCACACCGAGACAATTCGCATCAGGTCCAGAGCAAACGTTGTCATTATGAAGGCCACCTCATCGTGATTTGAATCGCTACCCTTTGACTCTTGGTGAATGCGCACCTGCTGCACTGAAATAAAGATTGTAGATTGTAACATATTACGTATCATTTTTCATGGGAATAAGTACTTACTTTCGGTTTCAAATGATGCGCTTTGAAAGTTAGAGGTAAGGCTAAAATCCAGTCCACAAGCTGCCATATAAGTGCAGCCTACAACCTTGATCTTCTCAACTACATAGTATTCCCTGTAGGAAGACAACTGCCATCGAAGAAAATAGATCAAATACAAATAAACTTTAATGCATAAACTAACCAGCTTATCGAACTCCGTTATAATGTCGTTTAGCACTCTGAGGCTGGACAAATCCATTTCAAAATTTAGTAACGAAGCAAACATGACCGATACCATTTCATAATTTTCATAGTAGAGTTCGTGTCTAGCCAATGAGTCAAGATATAGGTCGACTGGGGAAGAGAAATAGAAGTTAATGTTTGCTTAACTCGCTGATATTCAGTAGAAAACCGACCAACATGAGAGGGAAGAATGTTGTTGAGCAGAATTATAATTGATTGGTTTGTAACATCGGCCGCCTTTTGCTTATTTAGCAAGTCCACGTTGAGCCTGTGAAGAAACGACTAATGTTTGTTCTATAAGTTCACAGATGTCTCACTCACTTACTTGTAGTTCAACTTGGTGTTGAACTCCACTCGACGCTCCTTCGCATACATAGTGATCAGCATTATGCCCACACGCAGACAATGGGCTATCTCCGCTCTCAGGAACGGAGAAATGGTGGCACTATGCTGGAAAACGAAAACGAACTGGAAAAGGACGATCAACACGAAGGCGACTCCTTCGCAGCAACTAACGCATATCTTGAGGGCGAACGGGATGCGAGCAAAGGTGTAGCTCATGCCGAGGATCAGGGAAATCATGTTCGTGAAGACCCAAGGATTGAAGCACGATTCCCTATTCACATCGTAGTGAAAGAGCTTGTTCTCTATGATATCCAACTCATACTGGTTTTGATCACATTTGATCTAGGGATAAGAAAAATGTTTAAAATATTTAATATTTAAAGCCTCCTGAAATAAAGGAAGTCTTATTTCTGTTGCAAGAGGTGTATAAGTCGAAAAAGGAAACCTGTCATATTCTAATAAAACGACAAAAACTGAAAAATTATATATCTATACATTCGACCCTCTCCATCACTAGAATTTAAGAAATCCCTATTCACAACGATAGTGGAAAACTCACTAAAATCATGGAGACCACCATGTAGTACAAGACCATTATCATCATATAGACCGAAACTCGCAGGACGAAACTGTGTTGGATCTTGTCGAACAGGTAAAATGCCAAGCAACTGAGCTTGCTGTACTGTTTTAGCTCATTATGTCCATATTGCCACCAACACAATTTCTTGTACCACGCCAGGCATAACAGGGAAGTCAGTATGGAAAACACAATCAAGTCGACCACTGTACATTCGTTGCAGTCAACTTTGCTGTTCACGATTTGGATGTAGATCAGACAGCCTCCAATAGCCCAGGCCAGGAGCATTGAGTACTTAAAGATAAAGTCGGGTTGGTGCAGATAGTTCCACTCCAAAGATGAGTCCTTGAACACGGCACAAAACATTCCCATTTCTTGTTGGGCTTTCTCATTACTCATGTTTCTATCCCGGCGGCAGCAAGGCGAACGACATCTAAGATGATCTTTTATGATATATAACAATTTGATTTATCAAGAAAAACAGAACTGTTAGATTTAACAAGAAACCGAATGAAACGTCTATTAAATGAATAAATATTCTATTAGAAGTTGGAGTTCTGACTTTCTTGTATTATCAACACACTACTTACTGAAATCCCCCAACTGGCATTTTGCTAAACTCCTCACGCAACTCATTGGACATTGCATCCGGACTGAGAAGCTGTGTCTTCCGAGTGGGTCCCAAAGTTCTAATTTCGAGCTCAGAAAAGGAGGAACCCAAATCTACAGACCTTACTGAATCCCTGTTTACTTCACCGGTGAGAAGGTAGGTGCTCATCGGATGCTTCTGCAGCACGGGATCCCTGCGGGCCTTTTCTGTGCCAGGAAGTATGGTGTAGTCGGCGGCATTTAAGCTACTTAGAGTACGTCCACTGACGTGCACATAGCCAGGTTTGCCGGTTTGCTCCAGACGATTAGCGATCTCCACGTCAGGACCTGTAAGAAGTCATTGATCAGATTATCTTATATCTCCCTTGGGAATGCCCTACCCCATATGTCAAACTGCAGCTTGGCCTCTCCAATGACACCAGCAAACAGGCTGCCAGAATGGACTCCTATGCGCATGTCGATATCCAAGGAGCGTTCAGCCCTTGAGATTGGAAGATTAATATCTGATCTATACCTACTCATAATGGCAAACATACCGTACTTCCTGGAGGTTGGCAATCATGGAAATGCCCAGAGACACGGCCATCTTGGCGTGATCGGGATCGGCCTCAGTCAATCCGGACACACAGTAGTAGCAGTCGCCCAGGAACTTGATGCGCTGCACATTGAAGGTGGAGGCAGCCATGTCGAATCTGCCGTAGAGGTCGTGCAGGACCTTCACCAGGTCCTGCACCGTCAGCGTCGTTGTCAAGTGGGTGTAGTTAACCACATCTGCGTACAGGATGGACACATCCGGATGAATCTGGATGGCCATGAAGTTCTCCCTACTCCGGGTACTACCCAGGTGGAATCGTTCGGGGCCGTTCTCGGACTGCGATATCTTGCTCTTGATGATGGCATGAATGGGCTTCGCGATCTGAGGCGGCAGGATGCTGTCCAGAAGCATTGATTCCTGTCGCATGGCGTTGCGCAACCACATCTCCTCCTTGATGAATTGGTGGCGGTCCAGGAAGGAGGCGCGCACCATAATGTCGTTCATGATGCGGAAGAATATGCCCATCATGTTGAAGCCCAGGTAGTGGAACACGTCGACGGATATTATATAAGTACCATGAATGTTGCGTGCTATGTTATCTAGGTCGCTCGATGGAAACCAAACAAAGTAGTTTATGTACAAGAGACTGATCGAGGTGGCCAGTACGGCTGCTCCGGCGATCGAGGGGATCGGCAGGAACATGTAGATCATGCATAGCAGAAATACGTCATATGTGGTATTGAGTGGCCAGTGCGTCTTGCAACAATGATAGGTGATCAGCGCTAAATCTGAAAATAAATAGCCAATAAGTGGATAAGAAGCGAGGTCATAACTTATAGGACTCACCGGAAAATAACACAACGAAGGCGGCCAAAACCGAGGTTAAAACCATGACCCACCTGTGACGAATCACAAAGCTCTCGAAGAAATTTATACCCATTAGGCCGGTAACTAAAACCAATGATGAACCTTCACAAATCAAATCGATGTATGTAAATTTGGTATACTGGTATGCATAAAAAATAATGTACAAGTAATGTAAACCAATCAACTAGGAACTCTCACCTCGGCACAAGACCATTTTACCACTTGAAGGAGAACGACCACTAGAATGTACAAGGGATAGAAAACTTTGAGGTAACTGATCATCAGACGGATCTGGTACTTCTTGTACTCTTCCTCCAAATTCAGTTCCTTACATCTGGCCTACAGAGAATACATTTAGTAACCTAAGGGTCTAGCGGTTTGTTACCTTCAAATAGCCCTGTTCCCACTTGCGCTCCTCGGAATAGTCTAGGTGACATGGCTTGAACCTCTCCCTGAACGACGCTTTCTTGGGCTTCCTTTTGTTCATATCCCCAAATTTTATGTTAGTTTTCGATAGTTTTGTATGAATATTGAGGAACTGGACTAAGCATGCTAACGTGTAATATAAAATAATTAATTAATTTTTTTTATTATAATTATGTTGAAAATATGTATCTCTCTTGGTGAATTTGATTGACCAATTTCAAGTTTTCAGTTCTCTTCACACTATTCAAATTTGATTTATTTTTTAAATTTAGTCTGCCTTTTTCGCTCGGTGTACCAATTATCTCACCATTTACTGCTCCAGGAGGTGACATGCATTTTCCATTCGAATTTCGAAACATAATTAATGATTTTGCTATGCCTATCCATTAAAAGTGTCAAAAGCAAGAACAGCAGTGGCAAAAACCAAAACCTGAAGCCCGGATGCTAACTTGATTTGGCCTTTTTGCCCCACTCCATTCCAGTTTCCAGTTTAATTGAATTAATCCCCGACACCATGTTAAAATTGTGAGTGCCAAGTGCCGAACGGATGCGATGGAATCCCTTTTCTCACGACCAATTAACAGATGTTTTTACAAGCAATTTGGAAAATATGATGGTGCTGACAGATGTGGAAGGTGAGATCGCCCCCTTTGATGCCGATTCTGATGATGCTTGTCATTGTTTGCTGTAATTGACGAGTTTTCGCCGGGATGAAACATCAAAAAAGCACGACAACACGAAAATGCGAAAATACGCGTTAGAGAAACATCCATTTCCGGCGAAAGCCCCCAGGATTCGGTGTCCCTTTCCACTCTCTATAGAGTTGTTTTATCAGCACGGACACGGTCCAACGTTCCTTTGACATGTAAAACGCTCTCTCGTCCAAATGCATGCCGTAAAGGAAAAAAACCTAGTTGGCTCGCTTTGAGGAGAAAAACAATTGGAAATTCAGGTGAATTCCAAATGCAAATTAAAAGGCGAACCTGAAAACAGTTGGAAAAATTAAATAACAATTATTTTGTTGCATTGCTGTGGTGTTTCCATTTCTATTTTAACCAGAATTTAGCCTCGTAACCTTGGAGAAAGGGTATAAAAGGTATAAATGCAAGATTTTTCTGTTTTTCTGTATATTTTACAACTTTTACTATTTTTGTTTAATTTTACTCTCCTCTTTGACTAACAACCTAAACTATAAATTATATGAGCACATTTTAAATTGAAATATAGTGACCACATATCCCAATTAAATCTCTGTTGCATGGTGACAGGTACCTTGCTTTAATTGATGTACATGACAATGTTGGACATTAATTTTTTGCTGAAGGACTTAGAATGGAATAAAACAATTAGGCAAAAGGTGAAAAGGTGAAAAGGGAATTCGCGGCCAAGTGTAACTACACATTTGTAAATAGTTTATAGTGCTAAATTATATTAGAAAAAAACTAGCTTACGTAAGACAAAGCAATAAAAAACGCTTATTTTTATATTTATCTTATTTTAAGTTATAATTACACAGACACAATAACATTTTATAACCTGATGCATATTTTTCCGAACTTCAAATATGTATTATTCACCATTTCCTAGATGAGGAAACCGATTGACGCACTCTATGCTACGTAATACGAATTCAGATGATTACTTCAAAAATCGAAGCTGGAAATGAAGAGAAATTCGTGCACACTCAATAACAATGCGGCAAATGTTTCCATGACAAAAAGCGAGAAGAAAAAAAAACAAGAACGCAATCGAAATCGAGTTTCATTCTCAGGCCATTTGCCATTCCCAGAATCCAAACTAACAACATTGACTCAAGTCCACACTGCGAAATGCGAAAAAAAAGATGGAACTGAAACTAAACCCTCCCAAGCTAACTAATCTTTTTTTAGGGATTTCTTTTTTCCCTTTTTCCCAGTTTTGCTGCCAATCCGAGCGACCAAAACGAAAATGTCATCATCAGCAGAGCTTCGGTCAGAGAATAGAAGAAAAACCCAACCGAACTGGGAACTATCCGCCCCTCCTCCCTTACCCCATATACACAAACATATATACATATATACTGCCACTCAACGTAACTTTTTATGTGCAACATAGCAGAATGATTGTGTTCCGTTCCAGAAATATCAGCACAACAAGCACGGCAACAACTCCGGCCACAGCAACAACATCTTAAGCCGTTTCGCATAAAATTTCACACACCATTTTAGCCAAGTGCCACATTACCTGCACACAAGATGGGACTCGACTCGAGTCGAAATACCCATGCCCCTCATGGCCCGCCTCCTGCCTCGAATGTCCTGTGAACCAAACCGAGGAAGAAAAATAAAACGTTGGAAAAATGCTGGAAAACACGAAACTGAACATAAAAAATACCTTTTGACACATGCAAGCAGAACCAAATGGGGGCGTGGCCGCAGCCAAAAGTGTTGGCCAGTTTGGGGCGGAGAGTGGGATGGGAGGAAAGGCTTAAAATCAGCGGGCAAGGACTAAAATGGCGCCAGCCAAACGAGCTGAAAAGGAAAAGAAAAATCTTGAAAATTGCATTTTAAGAAGAACTTCGTGTGGCTATAACGAAAAATCTATAAACACACATACAGCATGTAGGGATATATAGTATATATATATATATATGTGGGACGGTGCGACTGAATGCAGACGATGGAAAAAGGATACGGAGAAGCTCAATCTGGCAGTGACTTGGGGCCACAATAGCCATTCGGTTATCCAGTTGGTCAGCAAAGCATCCAGGACCAATCCAATACAATTTTAACGGTAATGTGCGCCAAAAGCAAGCGATGCCGAAATTGATATGGCCACCAAAATGGTGAGCATTCACATTCAGCTGAGGTTCGGATGCAAACGAAAATATCACGTATACGCACCATAAGCTGGGATATTCAAAGGTTCCGAAATGGGAATTGCTCTGCATGCCCTTGAAACGTTGTCGAAACTGGCGATTCGAAATAGAATATAGCTTAAAGAAGGTGAAATGTTTATTGCAGGTAGAGCTGCAATAGTTAGAAGAAGGGGCTTTATACAAATCAAATGAATATGTACAAGGTCAAGGTCCTATGAAATGTATTCATGCATTTAGTCTGTTTGTAAAAATAAATAATTCCGAATTTTACACTTGCTTTTAGAAACATAAAAATTAACCTTCCAAAGAAATGCACTCTTATTTGAGTATCAAGTTGCCATAACAACTTCCACTTGAAGTCAACCTGCCTTGGCAGAAACCTAAATCCAAAAGCGCGAAAACCGAGCGGCAACAACTCCAGAATTATGGCAACAAATTGCAAACAAACAAGCAACAAACAAGTGAATCACCTTTAACGCTTCCTATGCATTTTTTGGTCTTTCGCCCTGCCGCACTCCTTTTTCTATCCTTTTTCCGGCCAAAGGATCCTGGCCAGCTGGCAGGCAGGCAGGGGTAGGCACGGTGTTCAATGGTCGGGAGGCGTGGCAGTTTTTTGTCATAACTTCCACTACCTTCAGGCAAGTTCCAGGAATAACAAAAAACTGCACACCGAGAGGCAGCGGCAGCAGACAGGTTGAACAGAACAGCTAAAGACCGAGACATGCATGTCAAAGGACAACAAAATCTTCGAGTGTGAGTGTGGCAGTCCCTACACGGGAAAAAAAAGCAATAAAAATATTTGTATTTTAATTATTTGTCAAAAATTAAAATCTATATGAAATCATTTTGCCAATTCTCTCTCTCTTAGAGATTCTCTGACTTCGAAAAATAGAGGAAAAAGCGAAAAGATAAAATGATCTCAAATCAATAAAGCGAGATAGCGCTTAAAAATACATAAGTGGGAGGGAAAATGACACATTCAAAATTCGAACGGACTTGTTGCTTACATTTCGAGCGTATCAAATTGAGATGCCGCAGATCAAATTAAAATTGATACCACAGTTTTTCGAGTTTTTTTTTTTGTATATGCTTATATAAATTGACTACTACGACTGCTATAGCTGAACAAATTATCTAGAAACATTATATAATTGCCACTAAACCAAAGTTAAAGTAAATAAATATTAAGCATACCCCACTTTGCTCGCAGTGTGGCGTTTGTGTGCGTTGCTTAACACTCAAAAGCGGAAGTAAGCGGCGTGTGCTGCGGTCGAGGATGAGCGGAGTGAAAGGAGTGAAGGGTGCGACGGGTGAAAAGGAGTGAGGTGGCGGGATGGGTGGGACAGGAAGCAGGCTGAAGTTTGTTTTCTTGCGGCCTCATGACTGGCACTTCTGTCTGCTGCTGCTGCTCCTGCTGCTACTTCTGCTGCAGTGACAGCAAAAACCAAGAAGAGACAACGGCACGGCAGCCCACGAACTCGAAGACGGCAGCAGGCGGTGGGATAAAGGCTGCAGGACGAGTATTTCTGCTAGAGAAGCCTGCAGGTGGATGGCAACAGAACAGGACAGGTGTGCTGCACTAACCGACACAAAAATATCACTTTAAAGTTCTCCACTGAGTCCTGTCGTCTGTGTTGGTTTTTGACATGAAATTGCATTACATTTCACACGGAAACAAGTTGGGTGTTGCAATGAGTTGGCCCTGCACTTTTGAACATTGTCTTATTTTTATGCCAACTGTCGTTCGGTTTCTCCGTTTCTCGAGTGAAGTGTACAAATTAGTTGGCCTTGTCACAAGCAGTAGCAGCAGTAGAAGCAGAAGCAGCAGCATCGTGCGCCGCAACAACAACTTACTCTTGTCTGGCATCCTTAAGCTACTTTTCATCGATCCGCTCAGCAATTACGTGCAGCGTTCTCTCTACGGAAACAATTTATCAGACTGGGCAAACGACCCGAGCTGGTTTCCTCGCCTTCCTCGAAGGAAACAAAAAATCAAGGGAAGAAACACGAAAACAAGGGCCCCGGCCACTTTTACCGAGCGGAATGTATGCCCAAAGTGCATGGCAAAGTAAATTTTATTTAACGGCAGCAACAAACAAACAAAGTGGAACAATTTTCACCAGGAGTTATGGTTGGAAATTTGAGATACTCTTTAAGAATGCAGTGAGTTGAAATGATATGAACGATAAAAATGTCTGTAACAGTTGAATTTGGAACATTTTGTACTTGAAGTATTTCTCCTTTTCTTTATTTAATAAAACA